AGTTCTTCTTTTTTNTTTTTCTTTCTTCTCTCTCTCTCTCTCTCTCTCTCTCTCTCTCTCTCCCTCTCTCCCTCTCCCTCTTTACTCGCCACGCTAACGCTAAAATCGGTGAAGTTTTTTAATCACCGCCACCCCACAGGCCACCGCGATATCTGACGTGCCACGCGTCGAGAATCGTAATTGCATTTCAAAACGGTGCGCCACCAGCGCCATCCTGGTCGACTGTTAACGCGGACGGGAAAGTTTTTGGCTGACTTTGGAAACCTTATTGGCGGTGGGAGCGAACGGGAAAATATCGAGCGAAGGACGAGAGAATCGATGAGAGAATTAAATTCCATCGTGAAATTCAGTGGAATGCTAATGAAACTTCGACTCCAGATGTCGATCCCTGTTTTAACCGAGGAATAATAGTTCGTTCGAAATATACGTATAGATCTAACTCGCGTTTTCTCCTCTCCTTCCTCCTCCTCCTCCTCCTCCTCCTCCTTCTCGGCCATTTCCATCCTCTTCTTCGCCGGTTTACACGTAATTATCGTTAACACGGCAAATATCGTTAACAAGGAAACCGGTTTTCTAACCGTGGAAAATGGATCGAGAAGACAGTTGCAGAGGTTCAGAATCGCGTCTCCTCTTCGAGTTAGCAGTTCACGTGCCCTTGAGATCAGGCATGTCGAGCCATCGGGACCAACTTTTGTACGTTCAATAATTAAACGTAAACCGATTACCGTTCGTTAACGGATTCAACGCGGGACGAGTTCACGCGGTGAAAAGTTCTTTCTCTAAAGAAGAATTAAACGATCTTCCGATCTTCCGTTCCGAATGAATTTTCATCCGACCGAAGAGGCTTTAATTTCATTATCCGCCTTTTTAATTTCTAATTTTAATCGACTTCCCCCCACCCCCTCTCCCTCTCCCCTCCTTACCAACTCTTTCCTATTCGTTCTGGATATATATATCGCGATGATTTTTTCTTCGCCTTGAAAAATAATTTTCCAATAATTTTCTTCTTCTTTCCATTTACGCGCGTTGCGGCCATTTTTCTTTTTTTTTTTNTTTTTTTTTTTTTTTTTTTTTTACGCGTCGTCGAGATATCGTCTCGCGCGAGAAACCGTCGGTTCAAGAAGAAAAAAAAAAAAAAAAAAATCTTCCTTTATAGCCTCTTGGTGATGCTGAATCTGGCGCTGATACTCCATTCAACCGGCTCGAGGTCCCCGAATTCGAAGCTCGCGGAGACCCTCCATCGTCCCATTCGATCCCTCACGTTTCCGGAAGAGAGTACCGTAGGTGTGAGTGTCAGCGAGGAAAAACGAAGTGAGATAAACGGAGGAGGGGAAAAGGAGGAGGAATTATTCGTTACGAAAAGAAAATCGAGAGTTAAACGATGGTGTTCTCTCTTATTCAAGATATTCGTCGCGTTGGCCATACCGCTCGAGGATCCCTACAAATCCATCTCCATAGCCGATTTTTTCGAGGCGACGTACAATCTGCCCACGAACGCGAGCGACGAATACCTCTGGCTGAACGATGGGAAACGAAGGAAGAGGAGAGGCTTGGACAGAGTGACGCTTTATCAAGTTATAGAGAACAAGTTTGACAAGTGAGTGAGAAACGAACGATTTATATATATATATATATATATATATATATATATAGTAG